AAAAAAAGAAAAAAAATAAATAAATAACGAAAAAAAAGAAGTGACAGTTGTGTTAGTGTGTGATAAAAGTCAACTTGCCGATTTGTAGATTTAATGTTGAGATTTTGGTTGATAATTGGACCATTTGCTGATAAATGTTATGTGTCATTCATTTTTCTAGATTAGTTAACCTATAATTGAAGGAGTTTATGATTTAGAAGCTAATCGAGGTGATGTTTCTTGGGTATTGATCACTGATGCTTGATATATATTTTTCTTGGTATCTTGGCAATATGGTAGACGGAGCAATGGCCATTGTCAAATATTGGTGTTTGTTTGATGTTTTCATGCTTGAGGACAATCATGATTTAGGTGTGGGGGGGGGGGAATTGATGGATTGCAATTTTATCATTTATTTTATTATTAATTTTTCCTATTACATGATTCGATGTGGATTAATTGTTAGATTCTATTCACTTTTGATATTTTGTATTTATTTCAGGAAGTAGAACGAAAATATCATAACAAATGCCAATTTGACAAGAAAGGAACCCAATCAACAGAGATTATCCCAGGGGGCATTTTTGGAAAAGAAAAGCTTATGCCCATTTTTGGTAATTGCTGCAAAGGCGAGGACAGCGGAGGTCTTCTATTCTCGCTGGGGAGCCACTGCACAGAAGGAGGGTAGTAGGACTTAGACAGAAATTAGGGGCAGGGAATGAGCACTATCTTTTGGAGATCTTTTGCTCTTTGACTATTCTTTTGTGAGCTTTTGCTTAGCTTTAATTATCTTAGGCCAGAGGCTATGAGAAGAACATTGAATCATTCTCTTTAGCTCCTCTGTTTGATTTTTCGCTAGTGACAATCAGAAACAAATGAACTTTTCATTGTAGCTTACTTTTCCTTTTTCATTCAATCGGATTGAATTGCCGCGAGCGAGGACAATGGTCGCCACTGTTGATTCAATTGTGCGTGGGTTTTTCGCATCAAATATGAACTAATTCCCTTACTCCAGTTAAGGAACAACGGAGGCTTTGATTCGCCTAAAATTGTGAGATCGATTTAATTTAATTTTTTTCTTTATTTATTGGTATTCGCATATTCCTTGATTGCAGTACTTATGATTATTTAATTAATTGATTGTCTTGGATCCGGATAATTAGTTAATTTGATAATCTATTGTCAATTAGGGCATTTAAATCCGTAATTGTTTAATTACCTTGAAATAGTGACAACTGGCATGATTAGATTTGTGTCAGAGGGATACGCGGGCTAATATGAAATAATCCCGGTAGTGCGTTATTTGATTAGAATATGACTCCTCTAATACGTAAGGCAATTGAGGAATTAAATCTTATGGGCGTATCTAAAATTATTTCTCAATTAGAGCAGTGATTAACGGGCATACCTTAATCACCGACACAGTAAGGAGGGGTTGACTCTCATCGCTTGTTTGGCAGTTACAACCTATTTATTAATAAATAATTGGAATTGTTTGTGCATCGATGATCAATTAGATGAACCATTGCTGAAGTTATGTATTGGCTAGACTTTTAATTATTATTACCTTGTTTTTAGTGAATTGTCATTTAATTTTTAATTGGCTATTTTACTCTTAGTTGAATTGTTTTAATTGTCACCCTTTATAAAAAACACCCCCTATGTTACTTTGGATTTCTAAAGAAACAAATATCCCCAATTCCTGAGGATACGACCCTACTTGTCCTGTCTATAAATTCATAATTATTTGTGAAAAAAGTCATCCTATTCGGGTATATCGGATCAAGCAAACTTTTCGAGAACAGGGTGAATCAAGTAACCCATTGCACATCTAGAGTCCCTGCTCCAGTACTTGAAATCGGGTTTCGGTTACTTTAACTGGCAATTAGGTTTATTTTTATTATTTTACAGGCTTCGACAACCTGTCATAGACTCTTTTGAAACACATACATCAAAAAGGGTTAAAATGCAAAATGTTGAATTATCTCAAAAAGGGTTAAAATGCAAAATGTCGAATTATCTTTAAAGATTATGAGATTTCCATAAATTAATGGAAGAGTAATATTAGTACGGAGAAGTTATCAAATTTGTCCTGCGGTTTATAACATTTTCTCTTGGGTCCCTTGTAGTTTTGAATATTATATTTACTATCCTAATTTTCAATTTCAATGTAACAGTGTCAGCCCTTACCTATAAACTATTAATATGAAATGCTAAAACGTATTTTCATTTCCAAATTACCACTATATGGCTTATAGGTAATTGGTGTAACAAATTCAAAGAATAAAAATAACTTGACATGCACCAAATAGATGAAAGAAATTTATAACAAAAAAAACATGTATGGCAGGCTAAAAGAGTTAAATAAGTTATAACAAACAGCAGAGAGAAATGATATCAAATTGTTAATGCTTGAAATACGTAGGTTCACAAGAAATTGAAATAGCAAATTTAAGTTTAAAAGGGCTTGAAATTTCAAAACAAAAAAGGGAGAAATATATATTCCATTAGCAGTGATGTAGTAGGCCTGACCACATTTTAGACGACAAAGTCAGTTTTTGTAAGCACCACATGATGCCGAATGTGTCCTAATCAGGTCTTAATCGAGAATTGTAAAAGGCAACATTTGTAGCAAGATTAATCTGAAACTGCTCTCTTTGGATGAACATCCAAGGATGGTCGCTTGCATCATCATCCCTTTGCATCATCTAAATCTCCATTCTGTATCTTCTACAGGTACTTCCTAGATTACAACAATCTTACCAGATTAAATATAACTAGTGCTTTTAGCACATTCTATGTGTGTGCATATTCCAAAAGCATAAAATCAAGTTTTTAATAATAAGTTATTGTATGTATGTAGAATCATATTTGTTTTTGGCATACTCTATGTGTGTGCTTATTCCAAAAATATATAATTAATTTTTTTAAAATAAGTTATTCTACGTAGAATCATGTTAGAGCATATATGTTTTTTTTTTTTCCAGAAATCTATAAATGCTGCTCTTTTTTATTTAAGGAGTTATTATATTTAAAATCATGGTAGAGAAAAAAAGAGGGATGTGAGTAATTATAGATAAAAATTAAATTATGATGGAAACAAGAGAGAACTTGAGTAATTTGAAAACTAACTTTAGAGAGTATTTTTGGTATAACATTAAAAGGAATCCTCTCCTATTTTATATAACATAGATATCAATCTGAGACCAAAGATGTTGGTCAATATTATGCCTGCAGTACTGCATGAATTTTTATGTGCACATTTCAATCATATACATATATAAAATATTCCCCTCCACACTTTGGCAAAAGTCACGTAGCAAATCCTTTGCCTCTTGTGCATGTAATATTTTTCACCAAACAATCATGCACAATGAATTTAGCTAGTGTCAATATTAGCATTATGGGAAGTAAATGGTGTGTCATAATTAACTGCCTCAACATTAAGTAGCAAAAATGAAAGCGTGACGCACTTTATTTTATTGCATCATACAAATCGATTCTTTTTTTTTTTTCTTTCCCCGCAGAAAAGGCAACTTGTGGATGGTGGATGGTGCAGGTGACAAGGCAACTTGTTTTTTTGGCTAGGGACAAGGCGCCTTGTGCTTTCCAAATTCAATGCAAAGATATTAGATGTTGATGTAATTGCTACACAAACACATAAAAAAGTACGGAAATTTGTATGGCGCAAATTTCACTGAGAAAGTGAGGTTGAAGATGATGATCTTGACACATATTTGATACTATCCTTGAGATGTTATTTGCTTTCACTATATAAAGCAAAGTATTTGTTACAAGATTTACTTCTAAAATACAGTAGGATTTAGAGAATCTTGATATCAAATCTCAAGTTTTCTTTTACAAGGAAAAGTTCAAAATTCTTTGATTTGCCACTATCTCTCACATTTATAGGCATTAAGAGACAGCAATTAAGTTCCTTTAATGGATAGAACATGCCAAAAATGTTTCATAAATTTTTTGGCTTTTAGGAAGAATCCATAAACGGATCCACTTCCTATCGCTGCAGATCCGGTCGCAGATCCATTGTGTTGACTTACCCTTTGTTTAGATATGTCGAAAAATTTTTACTTTCCTCATTTCAACAAATCTTATTTCTATTTTATTTCACAAACTATTAGAACATTAGACTTCATAGAATACACATTGTGATAATGTGATGGAATGGACACACTGGCTCCAAAAGAAATTTGGGTTTAAGACATTTACGTACCTCCCTTTTGGTTTGACCAAATTATTAATATGTTCAATTTTCTGTGGAGTCAGCAATAATTTGTTGCTAAAAACTAGTCTAGGGGAGTATTTTCAGCCACAAGGTGAAGAAGGAGTTCAATCAATGCATCCATCACTTCTAGCAATAACTTGCTAAATCTTCTTACCTCCTGATGAAGCTAAAATTTCGTCTAAAAGGCATCCAGATATGACAAGTTGGATGACAGGTTTTCAAGTAAAACGGTAGACTTACAATCTTGAACATTTATGGTTTGCATATTCATACACCAAAAGCATACATCTATGTTGAAAACTTTTCAAAATTTGTATGATGTACATACATGTAATTAATGTGTATTCATTCATGTTTTTGGTATATGTATAGTATTGTAAATGTTTCTAAAATGTACATTCATATGTACATTTATGAATGTGTTCATGTATATGGAAATTCTTGAATGAAAGGATAGATTCATGATTTGATCTTAGGATCATGAGATGCATGAATTAAAGTTCATGAATTTGTACACAATACTTTGAATCTATTCATACAAATATTTAATGAGTCCTTTTGTTTCTCAAACAATCTTGCTATATAAAGAGATTAAGTAGAGAGTGGTTTGCTGTAGAAAATTACTTTCCTACTATTGTGTACTCTCTCAAAAGCACTCCATAGTTAGTTCAAAAGGATTTGTCTTGCTTTGTGCAAGAGTGTAAGACAAATAAACTTCATCTTATTCTAAAGAATATTTGTCCAAAGTTATTGCACGTTATACCGGACAAATAAAGGCTAAAGGAAAGTGATATCTATCACAATTTGAAGCCAATTCTTGTCACAATATTTGCCAGTTCTTTGCAATTTTCCCAACAATCTATAGATACAATCCTATTCAACAGTGGCATTGCCAACGATATCTAGAGTAGAGCATGAGTCTGACCTTCATTACCAGCTGTGTGGAATGACATTGTTGAAAACATCCAGATCAACTGGTATTCTCGAGTTCCAGGCTTCTGCAAGTATATTGATCACGATGCAACTTGTCTAGGTTTAACTAACTATATTACAGCAATGAAAGACCTCTAGTTCTAGTCATCTTGTTCATGAAAAGTTGTCTCTTCCTTATCTTCTTTGCCAGGACCATAAGCCTTGCTGCAAATGAGGAAATAGATCATGTTAGGCACACTTAAGCCAGCAAGAACCCAATAGTAATAATCATAGTGACCCTTATTGATGTTGGTCGAAATCCAGCTTTCTTTTCCTCCCAGTTTTGAGAGTTCGTCAATGGCGTTCATAAGAAAACTTGCTACAAGATTTGCCGCAGACATCCCAAGTAAGGAAAGAGTGGAAGATATACTTGACATGCTTCTTGGAAACTCGGAATAATAGAACTCATTCTGTGCAACTATATTTGCAGTTGCGCCAGCGCCAGTCAGGAAAGATTGGGGAAGAAGCCAAAGTAATGACATGTCCACCACTGCATCTGAATCATCTGAATATCCTTCCCTGATAGCCAGACTACGTCGTTTAACCTCCACGGTTGCTGCCACTATCATGCCTACGAAAGAAAGGGCAATTCCAATTCCCATTCTTTTCCTTGTCGAGAGATGAACAGGTCTCCCCAAAATTCTTGATGCAACAGGCAGGATTATCTGAAGATAAAAAGGTATCCATAGTACTGCACCAACAACGGCAAACATACTACAAGAACCAGCTGGCATTTCGAAGTTTGGACCAAATTTTCGGTTCATGAACTTTGCTTGAAGTACAGAAAATGAGAGCTGGCTGTTATTTACTGACATTATCATTCCTGTGGACCATAAGGGGATCACTTTGAGAATCGACTTCAGGTCCTCAACTTGATTTACTGTGCAAAGACTCCAGGGATCTGCCGCTGTTCCATCTGTTGTCAAGTCTTTCTCAGGATCTAGGATGATGCAAGCTTTGTTTAAGAACCTGGAAGACAAATTATTGAAGCTTCCATAAGAGAAATATTGTTTAAATGACCAACTAGGAACTTCTCTCTTCAATGTTCAAACTCCGAATGACTTTAAAGAGAAATTCTCAGACTCAAAAAATGCTTTTACAAATTGTTGAATTGGCCACCACATGAAAAATAAAATAGGATTAATTGCAAACCAATTATAGCTACCAAATACAGGCAACCTTGCATAATCAAAATAAGTTGCTAAGAACTTGAAATTATTCATACATGTGAATAATGAAAGAAATACAGCCCCAGTCTGAGAGCAGAGCTAGTCATTTTGGATAACAGAACTTTAAGATCAAAGGGACACTAATGTGAGGATTAAAATACACTCACCTTAGTTTTTCACTTGGAAGACAAATTGATGGAACCCTGTGGTGATGGCACACCAATTTTGAGCTCTCTGTTCACAATTCTATATGCCGTTTCCTATAAGAGGCTACAGCCACTTGAAGCATTTCGACAATTAAACGTGATTTAGCCTTCAACTTGACATATAAGTGCGAAGCCAAGGAGAATGACAGAGTTGACAACAACATGAGCATGACTGGAATGCCAAAACCAACTTGCCATCCCAAGCTTTCTTGTGCGTAGACAATGCAAGTATAAGCAATTAAAACAGAAATTGTGGATAACGCATAGTACCAGCTGAAATAGGACTCCAGAACCCGTCCATTGTTGTGGCCACCTGCTTTTTGTAACTGATCAGCACCAAAAGCTATGGATGAAGACGTAATTCCTCCAAATCCAATAGACGTGAGTCCTAAACAAGAACACAAGAGAAAGAGTTGAAAACTTGTCGCAGAGCTACAATTTTTATTCGATTCATGACATGGAGGCGGCTTTGCTTGTGGAATCATACTTGTTAGCCACAAAAGAGCCATTCCCTTCAATCAAAGTAGAAACTCATTTTCAGATGATACCATTAAAATTAGAAATAATATAGTAAATTTGAAGAACTAAAAATGCACCCTTCTGTATTACTGGTCAGTAGTGTAATTTTTTCTTGCAGCAGCACGACTACTTCCGTGCATCAACAAGTGAAGCCTTAAAGAAAGATGCAGAGAATTTAAATTTCTTTAAGTTTTCCTAGATTGATGTGCAACAAATTATCTTCTAAAAGTCAGGGGTTCTTTTTCAGTTTTCTTCACTGCACATGAAATATCAATGGAGCAGGATTTGTAACTGAAAACTAAAATATAAAGCTGCTGTGCGCGTGAAGAAACTAATGGCCTGCATTTTCGGATGACATCATGCCATATATGATTGGAATCCTCTCAAAAAAGTTCAGAAAGAGCTAATATAAAATGAGAGTTGCTGGAAACAGAATTAGACAAGAAAGTCTAAAACATGCCTTTTCTGCAATTTGTTTCACCAGTTTCCTATGTGAACATGTTGGTTCTTAATTGAAAGGAAACACAGGGTCAGAACAGATAAAATTTTGTCACTGCATGAAGATAAAAAGTGAGAAATAATGTATTTTTCCGACAAAAAAAGCATGTGACAGCGGCAGGAAAATGATTTACACCACTCTTAAGCAACAATGATGTAATTTTAAAGTGCACCCCAACTCCTCCTCCTCACAAGATCATTAAGCATTTTTAAATGTTCTTTGATCCATCCTGGCCGCCAGATTGTAAATCAAAGAAAAAAGCCAGGGATACTCTATAAAATTCGTCCACTTTCACAGTACAATCTGAAGTTGAAAATGACATGATGGATGAAAATGCAAGAAATCGGAACAAACAACTTCTTGTGCGATGAAAAATTAAACATAATTAAAATAAATATTAACTACTGAAAACACTAAAGTGTGTAAATGGGGTGTTTACCAGAAGACTAATAACACAACCAAATAAGATCATCCGAAATCGACCCAGAAATGAATCTGCAACTATAGCACCAAGAAGGGGCATGAAATTTGTTGCTGCTGACCAAAGAAAGATTATGTTAGACCCAGTAGCCATGTTCAAATGATACTCTCTCGTCAAGTACAGAATCATGCTAGGCTGTAGCCCATAGCTTGCCACCTGCGCAAAAGCCTCATTGGCTGCCCCCGGAAAAAAAACCATTAAAACACAGAACGGTCAATTCTTAATAGAAAATTTCACTAAAACTATTCCTCAATAAACTTCAATTAAACAAAGACACATAGAATGAGAATCAGATATACGTGGTTTTAATAAGGGTCGTTCGTTTCTTGTCTTCAAAGTGAGGTTTCAGTCCTTCCCACCCCACCCCTTCTACAAATTCAAAGGAAAAAAGAAAGAAAAAGGAGTTACCTAAAACGAATGGCATTGTTCTGAAGCCACCCTTTCCTGAAAATCCGTCATGATCATCAAGTAAAGGCTTTGTAATCATACTTTCTTGTTCATCATCAGCAGAATTCTCCATCATGCATGTAGGGACTTCTGCTTCTTCTTCTTCTACTGCAATAATATGTGTCAAGTGTTTTGATCTTGGTTCTCGTCCAGCAACCATACTGACCACACTGGAAAACAATTACCAATATTTTATATGAATAATTTCATACTAAGCATACGACCTAAGTGGCAATGCAAACTGAAACATAGTCGATCTTCTTCTACTAGATTTTGCAGACATTAGACAAAAGAGAAAGAACAATGAATAGTCTTGCGTTAAAACCTCGAGTACTTGATTTTTGATAGAGCTGTTAACGAGCCGAGTCGAGCTCGAGCATGTGATAATCGAGTTCGACTCGAACCCCTAATCGAGCCAGCTCGAGCTCGCTCGATTAGTAATTCGAGCTTCACAAACTATTCGAGATCGACTCGATATGTTCGCTAGAAAACTCGAGCTCGAGCTCGAACTCGAGTTTAAAATTGAGTCGAGCTTATCGAGCTCGAGCTCGAGCTTGTCGAGCCTGTAGAGTATCAAATACACAATAAAAATGACGCTAATACCCCTACTATTCGAGCAGTTTCGAGTTCGAACTCGAGCCTATCGAGCCTGTAGAATATCAAATATACAATGAAATTACACTAATACCCCTACTATTCGAGCATGTCGAGCTTAAACGAGTCGAGCTATGCTCGGCTCGTCTATTAAACGAGCACCAAGTTGAACTCGAGCTCGGCTCGTTTCTCTCAATAAACGAGCCGAGTCGAGCCCTTATCGAGCCGGGTCGAGCTCGGCTCGCGAGCTACCCGGTTCGATTAACAGCTCTAATTTTTTAGGATAAAAGGGTAAACTTCAATGGGCTGAGGGAGTAATGATGTGACGTTAACTAGTACCGCTGGCACAACTTACCGGTGCGGTCCATCAACTAGATACCAATTTATAATCCAACCACCCAGATTGAATTGCTGAATCCGACCTACAGGCCCTCTTTAAAGTACACTGGGGTCTTTTTATTGTACAGGTCAGATTAGGTGGAGATGTATTTGACTTGCAATTTGTATGGATGAAATTGCAGGACGATTTCTAAAGATTGCCAAATTTATTGTCTTTTTTGTATGTTACTGTGTTGGTATTCATCTTTGTTGTGTTAATTTATTGTGACAGTATATCGCAATTATACTTATTGTGCGAATGTTTATATTGTACGATATAATTAGGACCGGTGATCGTACAAGTCCCTAATCCTTAAGTGTAAATAAATTATATTGTTGTGTTTTTGGATGAGGATATTTGGATGCGTTTGGATTTCAAATCCAATTCTCTTATCCAAACAAATGAAGAAATTTGGTTGAGAATATAAAATTTACCAATTACTTGGTATATCTACTAATTAGTTTTTGACCAATGATGATGTTCCAAATAAGACTTTAGATCTCATTAATTACATGTTTAATACAATTCAAATAACATTGCCACCATTTGGCGGTTGGCGGCAAGATTGGCCCTAAAGAAGAAGGTGGGTGATGAGTCATTCGCTTTTTGCTGTTATTTGAGCACGTCAAACTTGTATAGAAGTTTGTGCCTAAGCTATATCAATTGCAATGCCTTGGAGTTGGTGCTATCGCCGGAATTAATCTAGAAGCCAAGTAATACAGAAGGCGGAATCGCGTCCGGCCATTTAGAGAAGAAAGCAAAAATTCAATTTCTACCCAACTGTTAGCATTTACGATAAGTCTTGATATATTTGTTTGTGAACCTTGAATCTCATTTTGCAGCAAAATCTCTAAGAGCTCGTCCATTTGTTTCTTTTTTGTCATTTATTTTTCAAAAGGCAACTTAATAGATATTTCCTTTATATGTTGTTGTATCTCTTCCTCCCCTTTGTGGTGTATGCCTTCTTTATTTTCGTAGTATTCTTTCAATTTTTGAATCAAAAGGTACAACTACACGTAAAATCTAATGCATGTAATACAAACAAAAAAAAAAGATATAAGATAGTTTTTTTTTTTTTTTTTTTTGCTAACCCTGGCCACGGGGAGGGACACCACCCCCCATTTATCATATAACTTGGGTGAAAACAAAAGATGATGTCTCAAAGGGATCGAGATCCACTCCCCTACATGTTTGTGCAGAATCTTCCTAATTGACGCAATCCCTAACCTATCTAGACACATGGCTCCTCTAGCAGGAAGAAGAAACTGGGGCCATTACAGAGCAGTTCATCTAAGCTACCAAAGTTGGACAAACATGATCTGTGTCCATTGAAGCCAGAAACTATCTTGAAGAGAAGAGTTATCATGCGAGAGGAGAAACCCGTCATCCAATTCTTGATCAAATGGAATCATTTGAGCTATGACAAAACATCATGGGAGGACAAGTCTTTTATTGAAAATCAGTTCTCTGACTTCCAGACTTGAGGACAAGTCTGATTTCATGGGAGAGGAATTGTTAGGATGTGGGGGCAATTGGATCAAGAAATTAGCCAATGAATTAGGGAAGGTAAAAACGATGTAGTTTTGACTAGCAATGATTTAAAAGATAGTTAAGTCAGTTAGAGGCTGACTAACAGAATTTGTAATCAAAGGTGGGGCCCACGTGCTAAGGTTCACCGCGCATTCAGATAAAAGCCCAATTATACCCACTTTATTTGCAAATTATTATGTAGCAGATGTAAATGATAAACAAAATTTTCAGAGTTGTGTTCTTGGAAATTATATATAATTAGTTCAAAATTGTAAAAATATGAAATTCAAAAGATGAAAATTATTATACAATACCTTTAAAAAAGACAAGAGAAACATGATTAGAACATACACAACTAGCCATTGATCCAATATACAAATTATATTGTGCTGTCCTCGAAATTTACGAATGAAATCTCATTCTTAAAAAGCATCAACAGTAACATATTTGCATTAATTAACATAATTAAAAACTCTTTCTCAATCTTTTGAGTTTTTGAGGAAAACGACCTCACAATTTCTGCACAGCTTTGATGCTAGAGAGGTTTTACAGCATTATGGGATAAAGCCAATCAAAAGAAAATAAAATCCTCCAAAAAGTATCAAGGATATACATCATAAAGAAACCTCATTTTTTTTCTTTTTCTTTTTTTTTTTGGGTACATTGGAAGAGGGAAGAGGTCATAATCTCTTAAATAGAAACAAAAGGAGAATAAGCAACTGCTAACACATACGCTTCCAACAAATTTCGCATCTCTGCGCGGATGTCATCAAGAACTTGTAAACCTAATGGACCATAAATGCTGCACTTGGCCAATCAATTTGTATATTGATTGCATTCTCTCCAAATATGACTCGGCTAACAACCTCAGCTCCTTTACTTTAAGTCTCATATCTGAATAAGAAGATTATGATCTGCTGAGTTCTGATACCTAAATTTTTTACTAAAACTGCATGCAAGAAAAAGACCAATCAAATGGATCTATTTATACCGTGCAATAGTAAGGGAATAGATGACTAGTAATATCCTTCACATCATGCAAGTCAATCTCACAACTATCATTTGGAGTAGTCCCATGCTGTTTCAAAAGATGCAAGCTAAATTGCTAAATGAAAATAAGAGGTTTGCCATATGCCAAAAAACTCGTCAATGATTTCCAAACAAAATTTACTCTCAGTTTCGACGTTATGTACAACTAAAAACTAACTAAATTTAAGTGCAAACATCTGCTCCAAAATCTAACTTGGCAAGTTTTTGTATAGGAGAGCAAAAGAATCAAGAAGATTTCTCAATAAAGCAGGACAAAAGGGAGTTTCTAAAAATTTTCAACTTAACTTTGATGCTCTTAGCCCAAGGACAACAAAAAATTAGGACAATCCACTAAAATAAAATATAGAAGAAACTTTTCATGAAAGGGAGAGGAAGGAGAGAAAATATGATCGGCATTCAGAGAAGGAAGGGAGAAAAGAATATAGCAACAGAAGAAAGAATGAAGTATAAGGGGAGACAACATTGGAAAAAAAAAAAAAAAAAGAGAACTGTCTAGAGCAAGCTATAACCTTGTAAGCAACTCAAAAACAAAGATAAGATATGAAGTAATTTTCTTTTATACTGCACACTGGCCAATATTTACAGCCTTAAAACTAGCTAGAATTCCTCAAATTCAAACAAGTCAGTATCTTATTATTTTCTTTATTTGTAAAAAGAAAACAAATAATATCATACTTTTCCATTCCAAACAAATTAATACAAGGTTGACCATAAAACTGCCAAGTAGTCTGAATTTTCATTATAAACCATGTGGCCAATATCGAATAGTAAAGCTACAAGTCAAAACACAATTGCATAAGCAAATGCCACAATGAGCTTCAAGAGAAACAGAAAAAGACTCACATGAGAAATTTACGAAGCACTGACAATTATCAGGTTGATACAATTTTGGAGAAAGTCAAGGAATGAAATTTGTGAAATCCTTGCTATCAATACATTTTTAAGGAATCCAATCAGACACATAATATTATGCAGTAATAATTAGCCTTTGAATTGCAGTAGCATTTTTAAGGGAAAACGTGACTAACAAATTACCCTTTGAATTGCAGTTATAATTATAATAGTAATAACTACTCTATGCTCAATCGAAAATGCATTTTAAGCATCCAATCAAACTGTTAGTCCTCTTTTACATCATTCATTTAGCAAAATATTTGATCTAAAAGCCTAGAGAATCAGCACAAACCACAAGGTGAGAAAACATATATATGTCTAGAAAAAATGAAGCAATATTGATTGATCTCTTTCAACTATTTCTTCCTTTAGATAATTGTTTGCCTTTTCTTCAACATCCACAGCTTCTAGAAGAATAAGCTACATTATTTAAAAAAAACCCTCAATATATGGCTATCAAAGACTATATTAGAATGATTGATAAATTCAGCATGGCAAATAATAGAACACGAGTATAATGCATAACAATTATGAGAAAAGATATCCACCTCAAGAGTACTTCAAACTGAACCTCTCAGCTTCATATATGATTCAGATGCATAACAATTCATGTTGAGAAGGCAATAGTTAAAAAAAAAAAAAAGAATTAGTAAAATTAACAATTTCAACACCCACCAGACACTTCGTGAAAACCACTAAATAGCACAAAAATCAGAAATTTGAAATTCAAAGTTAAGGTAATCTAGAAAGATGACCACAAAATAAAAAGAATAGATGATAACCTGAAAAGCTAAATCTTTTTCTCCTCCCTTTAGTATTTCCTTGTGATTTTCCTCAATCTATCAAATAGGCAGCAATCTAAGATTATGAGGAGCATCAAAACTAAAGAAGCAAGCAAGAAATTAAAAACTTCAGAAATGAAAAGGAAGCAGAAACTTGAAGGTCCAACCTAGTGTAAAATTGGAAAAATGACGGGGAAATAAAACAAAAAAAATTCATAACCTGAAAAGTTAAAATTTTTTCTCCTTTCAATAGATATTCCTTCCATTTTTTCAAACTGTTTTCACATTTGAATACTATAACGTTGAGATACCAAGAACCATATATTACATACACTTAAAAAATGACCTCACCAATAATGACTAACCATAGAAAAAAGGGCTTTAAAGATCTCATTTGGCAAATTCACATACGAAATAAAAGCTCAAGTAAGATATTGTCAATAATATTAAGAAAACCCATAAAGGTATAAACAAACAATTATTAGATCAAACTTGGCTGTTTTGTCTTACAATTACTATGGGCAGAATAGACTGCTATTATAGGCAATGAACGACATAGTTCAATCGACAACTCTGCTTTACCCAACTTGCTCACAAACACTTCTAGAACAAAGCCATGTAATTAAATGATAATGCTCAAAATGTAAAAGCATTTGCTAAAAAATTGATCTTCTAGTTTTTGAAACATTAATGAGGTGTTATCAAGATTAAAATGCAAAGAAGAAAAGTCAAATTGTGTAACCTAACCATACTATGATAATAACCAAAGTAATAGGCTCTTTGAAGGGCTAAGAGAGCGGGGGAAAAAAAGGAAGAATAGGTCAGAAAAGAAATTGCCCTAGTCCAACTCATCATTCAAGAGTAGAAAAGCAAAAGAAAATTATAAGGCACAACTATTCAATATGTTATTTTAACTTTCACAAGCAAATGTACATGTATCAACCCCCTGGGAGTTTCTATTCTAGCTTTGTAACCTTCAATTGTTGAGGAAAACAATCTATCAAATAAACAAAAGAACACAATTAGGAGATAATCTAAATCCTATCAGCATATACATTTAAGAATCTAGGGAAGCGAAAAATTTCTCTTATTCAGGGGGAAAACCCCGAAGAATACAAAATCAGTCTGTTTACCACCATTTGTGCATTATCTTCAATAAATGTCGCGTCGCAGTGGTAGTTATTAAGTGGTGATTTTTTTTTTTTTTGCATTGATAGTAAAGAAATTGCACATGAGCCACTATAAATGAATCATTCTTTTCCGTAGGACCAATAATTACAATAAGAAAGCAAACTATGAACCAAAAGGTAAATACATCAATACATTGAAACTGCATATAAGCAAGCTAACAAATGAATTTCAAATCAAATATTAAATAATCTGCAATAAATGAAAATTTCTTACTAAAAAATTCAGAGACTACAAAATTACAAGGTTCTCATGGTAAAAGAAACATTAGGTAAACAGCAATACATCAAAAGACTAAACATACCTAATTAAGTAGAAAAAGGCTAAACATAGAACAAACTTAAGTAGCCTTAAAGCTAGTGAGAATAATATAAGCAGCTTCCCTCCTATCACTGCCAGCAATCAGCTTAACACAAAATACCTATTAAAAACGCCAGATCAGTTTTGGATACTCAAAAAAATCCAAAAAGAAAAAAGGAAAAAAACATTGCAATCATGGGCTCTGAACCAAGTATAATCCCTGCATACATAAAAATCTTTCCTTCTTGTACAGGATGATGGCACATAAACATCAAGAAACAATATGATTTTCCATTGAATGCCTTCTGCATAGAATGTTTGGGACAAATAAATCGAGGAAAAAGTAAAAATTTGGAACCCATACAACAAATTGAACAAAAGGTGAGATGGCTAAAAAAAATAATCACAGTTAAGAGTATGGCCAAATATACACACTTTTGGCAATCACTTTTTCCTCATTCTGTAACAGAAATTCTTGCACTTCACAAATGTAATTTGAGAGCGAGGACTTTTTGGAATTTGATACACCAGACATGGTAAGCTCAACCAAAAACTCAATATTGTACTGAAGCAAATTACAGCATAAAAACTTTTGGTTCTGCTGCAAAACTCAGACACCCATAACGCATTTTAGCAATAAGTGTTAACCACACTTGTAAATGCAACTACACCACTCTATGCATACTCTAAATAAAAGTCACAACTACTGGAATGGAAAAGTAATGACAAAAACATCTATTCCAAGCACAATTCAAACAGAATCTCCTAGTACCATGTATAACTTGGATGCATAACCATCCGTGTTAAGAAGGCAATAGTAAAGATAAAAGGGAAAACTAAGAAATAATACCTATAGCTACTTTGTGAAAACCAATGAATAGAATATAACTTGAAAGCTGAATTTCAGGTGAGCTGCAAAGATAATTGGGGAAAAAAAGATCACAACCTAAAAAGTTAAATCTATCTCTTCTTGTGGATTTTTCTTGCATTTGTCCCCAATCTACTAAACAGAAATCAAAATATGATATAAATGGAAAATAAGACTATTAGTAGCAGCAAAACTAAATAACTAAACAAGAAATTAAAACATATAATCTTCAATGGAAAAGCCAAAAAAAAAAAGGAAGGAAGCAGAAACTTGAAGGTCCAGTTTAGCGTAAAATTAGAAAAATGGTTGGAAAATAAACTACAGAAAAATTCGAACCTTGAAAAGTTATCTTTTTTTCTTCTTCCCGTCGACTTTTCTTCCATTTTTCCCTCAATTTATTAAAAGAAAAATGAGTTCCCTATCTGTCCAATAGATAGCAGAAATGAGATCGCTAATAGCAACAAAACTAAAGTACTAAGCAAGAGATCAGAAATCAGAAACTTTTCTTATAAAAAAAAAACGAAAACAAAAATTTGAAGGCTAGAGTAAAATTGGAAAAAGACTGAAAAATAAATTAAAGAAAATCGCACAACCTGGAAAGTTGATTCTTTTTCTCCTTCTCGTGGACTTTCAATCCATTGCCCGCAATCTATGAGAAGTAAAATGCGATTGTGAGTAACTGCAAATTCAAGAAAACAAAGAAAAAAACAAAAACTAAACAAAAAACATCAAAGTGCCTTATTTGCTTTTAATTTTTGTTGATTAACAAAGAAGAAAAGAAGAAAGAAAACATGGAGATGAATGATAGATCTAGTCATCGTTTGACAGAGAAGGAGAACGAGAAAGGAAGAGTGTTCGTCTATCAAAGTTGAACAAAAGCAGAAGTTCTTGGAGGAAGAGATTAGCATCCTGGAGGAAGCTAAAGATATAAGCTTACCTAATTTCCTTCCTCGCACAGCATTTCTCACTTCACTACAAAAAATGGTCAAGGCGATTTCCGCTACATCAGCTGGATTTGTGAACAAGTTTTGGGAGTATTTACAAGGGGTGTTAGTTTCTGTCTTGATGAAGCACTCTGACAACTACCCACAACTTCAACGGACGCGGGGCTGGAGCGGTTGTTCTGACAACCGCTCCGGAAGGTGTAACACCATTTGTACATGGTGTAACATCATTTGTACAAGGTGTAACAATAGAACAACAGCGGGTAACATTAGAACAACATTTTTGTGAGTCCCACACGGCATGAAAATCGAGTTACAAGACGTGATCTGAGTTGCACAAATTTTTGAGGCCTCATCCAGGCCGTGAACTGCCTGGGACGGTTGTCAGGTTGTCCAGGCCCCTCGTCCAACTTGAACTTGAACCTTCAACTTTCTGTCCGAGGCACAGAAAGTGAGTTGGGAAGCAGGTAAACATCTGACATACTCTTTGGAGGCAAAGTACTTTACGTTGGAGACCAAGTAGTACTTTTTCTTCTTTGGAGGCACAATGGAATCCAAAGTAAACTCACGTGAGGAGCACAAGCGACTTGGACGAACACTCTCTAGCCAATAACGATTGGCCACATCACCAACACAAGCACCTCTTTTGAGCCATGGCATTCGCTTTTTTATATATACTAGGAGGCATAAACACGCTTCGCGCGAAAGAAATATAAAATGCCCTGCCCAGTTTTGAACCAATAAAAGAATAACAATTTATGTAAAAAAGTATATTTTTTAGTATAGGCATTCCACAAGTCTGAAATTTTGTTCATATTTCTCGGACGTTTCTCACAAAGCCTCCAGTCAACGGTAACCGCCAACTTTCATTTTTTACAAAACCATTTCTGGTGAAAAAAATGGAGCTAACGTAATATATAATACAGGAATACTGGCTCTCAGGAAACCATTTCTTACAAATATAGTGTAGAGTTAAAAGTAAAATGATTAATCAGAGAGGTTAGCTAACAAGGTAGATGATTAATCAGAAGGCATTTGTGCGCAGTTGAAATACAACATAAATAAAATGGAGTTTAAAAAGTTATCACAAAACTGCAAGAATGCTAATTTTACGATAATGTTGCAGCATCTTTATGAATAAATATTGCAAATCAGGATATTTATATAGAAAACAACCTATAACAAAGTATTATGCATCATTGGTTGCAATAATTGGGTGAAGTACTAAAAAGAGAAACATGGAGCTATAAGCCAAAAGAAATTAAATCCATTCAGGTGGACAATAAAATTTAAGCTACTATTGACTAATTCTCTGCTTTTGCAAAAATGTATGCTCTTTGAAGGGTTCTACAAAAATTAGTACAGTCAAGATTTCCCTGTGGAGTTAGTGCCTAGGACGAGCAACATGAGATGGTTAGAAGGAAGAACTGGCAGAGTCATTTAATAACATGAAGATTCTTAACCAAACATCTTTAGTCACCTAGGCAGATGCTATTAACATTCACAGAGTCTAAACCAGGAAATATCTCTTCAATAGACACAAAACGTATACACTACTTATTCACAAATTTTTCAAAAACTACACCATTTTTTGAAACAAATACTACTTATATACAGCCTTACTTAGTTGCTGACCTCCACCATCCACCAAAAAAAAAAAAAAAAAAAGGAACCGCATCACTTTGCCGAAAAAAAATGTTTCACAATATGTGCAGAAGACCATAACAAGCACTAATTCACATCATTTTTCATAATCCAAATTCCATTCACATATCAAAATATTTCAGCTTTATACAAAACCAACAAACAACAAACACAAAATTTCATTCACATATCAAAATGTTCATAGCTCATTCCCCTGCAGTTCAGGAGAACATACGTCCAGTATGGAAGAATAATTACCCCAAGAAAAGGAAAACTAAAATGGAAAAAAATAGACCTAAGATCAATTCCATAATTTAGTTATTAGCTTCTGGGCTAAGTTTATTTGGTCGAGCTCCTCTTCAACATTCTCCTATTGAAGCCCGTGTATGACGGCAAGGAAGAGAAACCAGAACCTCACCTGCTTTCATCTATTCAATTGGCCAAAGGAACCGATTCAGCCTGAAACACATAACAATTCAAAGGACAAAATAAGAGCCAAAGATAAGCATAAAACAACGCTGGAAAGTGTGTAATTTGTTGAATAGTAAAGGCGCAAGTGAACTCACCAACTTTCTGTAGTTGAGAAAATAAAACATTTCAAGGTAGCGCTGCATTTTAAGGCGATCAAGCTTGGAGATGAACTGAACTAATAATATTTTCGCAGCTTAAAAGTCAAATGAATGAGTAGGCTGCTACTTACTTCTCTTGTATACGTTTCAGGTGTCCTGATGAGATGGTTTCCCAATAGAAAACATCTTCTTTACACCTCTCAATGTAGAAACGACCTGAATTACTGGTGCAAGCCACCAAAAGTTGATAAACAAAGAAATGCTCATGAGTTTCGCCGTTCCTTTCTTAAGTCCATTTGACAACAGTTATTTTCTGATCAATCAATACTGACTCGTAAGGATGATGAACAATCAATTAAAAACAAAGAGATAAAAGTGAAAGAAACTTCACCTTCAAGGGAGCCGATAGAGAAAAAGGAGATGACACGGCAGCCGAGGAGGAAAAAAACCGATGAAAAAAAGGAAAAAAGGGAAAAGCAAAAAAAAAGCAAAAAACAAAAAAAGAGAATCCAGTCACATTTAGATGAACTTGAAACGCTTGATCAATAAATGTCTGATCGGTCAAAGAAAAAAGCTAGGTATCAAATAACTTCATTTTACTGGGAATGCATATCCAGTCACCTTAACCTTAGATATATATAACAAGTCTTTATCAGCAAACAGGAGAGCAACAGAGAAGAGGAAAGCACCAGTTTCTGCATCCAATAAAACAGCGAGAGAGGCAAAGGTTAAGAAGATACAATAACAAAGAGTAAATGCGGCACAACAAGTAGCAGAGAACAAAGCGGGAAAAAGTATAACAAAGTCAAGGTTAAAAGGAAAAAGAGCATAAAACAGAAGGTAGGGCAAGATAACCTGTACATAGCAAGAAAACACGAATGGGAGCTACTAAAAAAGACAAAAACAGTAATGCAAGAACTGTTGACAGGAGGAAAGTGGAAAACATAGCTCAGGAGGCCACGGTAGAAAACTAAATTTAAATAGACCGCATGAGAAAGAAGAGAAGAAGCAAATCGAGCCGAATAGCAAAGCAAATAGGCAATGCAATAGTAACAGATTAGGAGGGCATAAATTTTAGGGGGAAAAACCAAATAAGAACGACAATGCAGGCAATACGCTGAAAAATGAGATAAAATCAAAGAATAACAGTGGAATTAAACCTTACGGAAGAAGACAGTAAGACAGTAATTCTTACAAAGAAAAGAGAAAGTAGGAAAAAGAAGCGAGGCTATAGCTCAGAACCAAGAAGCAAGCAACTGAAGAGGAAGAAAAGAACAATGAAAATGAGGCACAGTTACTGTGGATCATGATGATGATAGCTGGAAAAGGCGGCATCACAAACATAGAAACCTTTGTATACATCGGAGAAACAAAGAGCTTTCAGTCTTGTCAATCAAAGGAAAGCGGAAAAAAGGCATTCTTTGGGAGGTCTGCAGAGCAGAGCTGAAACTCCCAATTCGCAAGGAGAAGGAAGAAGCTCAGCAAGATACAACGGTGCATTTGATTTTAAAAGAAGGGTAATATCGTCAAATCATACAACCCACATTGAGCCCATCACCCAACACCTGTCATCAATCAAACCATCACCTACTGTCATAAGCTCACTCAGTTAGCAAGCTGCTGACCGGAGAATGGTACCCACGCTACAGAGAAACGGTCTCTTCTCAAAACCGAAGGTCCTCACCTTCTTCTCTCGGACAAAGGAAGAATTCCACTTCTCCTCCTCCTGGCGAAAACACGCGAGCCTCACGTGAATGACGACCAAACTCCAGCCAATAAAATGCAACCACGTCAGCACAACAACCACAATCTTTAGAAAACCCATTCGTGTTTTTACTATATAGGTTGATACGTCTCTTTCTTCTCAATTTCTGGAAGTACCATATGCATGGTTAATTGGTAAACTTCACCTTCATTCATAACATAGTTTCCCTACTGTAGTCAAGTCATTAGCTCTATGTTTGCTCCTTTCTTAAACTCTTTGTATTTATTTTTGGATTATTTATAAATATTGTTGGTTTATTATATACATATTCTTCTCATGTAAAACTTTACCACTATCAATTATAGTAATTAAAATTGAGCCACATGTTAAAATTCAATAAAGAAAGGAAGTAAAAATTTTAATATTAAGAACGTGGCATAATAGAGAGGTATTTGTATCTCTCAAGGGGTTAACCGACAAAAAAAAATAGTTAGGGAAAGTCCAAGTCAGGTCTCAATCGAGTATTGATGGAAATAGGCCACAGTAGTAGCAAAATTGTCAAATGGCAGCACCTCCTAAGATGCATGGTTCCTTTGATCAATTGAAAGACAGCTATACCATTAGTTTGCTTAAAGGGACATTCGACCGAACACGTGATCCGTTAAACTGGAAACTACTACAACTTGAACGGTTTGGATATCAGAACGTTAAGGTTTTGAGTTTAAATTCTTCTTCTTCATTTTTGTTTCTTAAATTCCATATTTCTTTTGCTGAAGAAAAATATTTAGAGAACTACCGCAATCTGAAAACTTAAGGATTCTAACAACTTATGCATAATTTGGATTAGTTACTAGTACAAATTCTCTTCGTAAAAGAGTCGGACAATTGCTAAATTGCTAACTAAACTCGGAACTAGACCTGAAGCCTATGTGAGCTTTCAAATTTATGTGTATCAGCCTACACTAGATTTTTTGGACATGTAAGTAGAAAGAATCAAAACATCGAATACACAGAAAATTTAGAAATCTGCACTCCAGACAAGTGTTTACTAGAAAACAAGTTAGGGAAGTTTAGAAGGAGAGGTCACTTTTTATTACTAGCAATATCTACACATCTATTGTGAAAATGACCAAAACATCTATAGTATATTTCTATGCCTTTGTGCGTATTTCTGTACTCACACGCGAAAATGACCAAAAGATATATAGTCTATTTCTATGCCCTTGTGTGTATTTCTGTACTCGCACATGAAGAAAACCATTTGGTTGTCAAGAGTGAAGAGTAGAAGAAACATACATAAATAGAAGGTTCCTTTTGGCTCCAAAAACAAAGAGTTTATTTTTTTTAATTTAAAATATTCTTAATCACTCTCTTTCTTATTGTGGAACTGTTTTATGTTACCTTATCCTGTAAGCTATTAGTAGGATTTTCTACAGGAAGGAATTTTAGTAATCATATGGTTAAGGTTTCACCCACAGATATATCAAAATGAAGACTTGTTCAGTCAATAAAAACTTATTTAAGAATTTATGGTGCTAATAATCTCGGAACAAACAATATAAAAAATGCACCAAATAGTTGAAAAAAAAATTTATAACCAAAAATCATGTACGGCAGGCTAAAAGAGTTAATAGGCTGTAACAAACAGTAGAGAGAAGCGACATCAAATTGTTGATGCTTGAAATACGTAGGTTCACAAGAAATTGAAATAGCAAATTTGACTTTAAAAGGGCTTGAAATTTAAAAAAAAAAAAAGGGGGGGGGGAGAAAATTATATTCCATTAGCAGTGATGTAGTAGGCCACATGATCACATTTTAGCAGTTTGTGAAAATGAATGTCTTAATTATCTTAAGGTCATCTTATTTCCTTTTCATTTTATTTTCCAAGTTCTTCATTTGAGTTTAGTTGGGTTTATGAGTATACAAGGGTAATTTGCAAAAGAAAACGCTTTTTAGCAAAGTGAAATTGTTAAAAAAAAAAAAAAAATCTCAAGGAAGGCTTCTGAAATTATCCCTTATTGGTATTACAAGTAATAAAATGGCATTTCTGTAATTGATTGAAGACTATTAATATTAGTTACGAGATAACCAACAAGTCTGGTTATAAATTATAATGCACTGATATGGATGCTGAAACTGTCCTACGTACATTACATTACTTCTTATTCATTTGGAGGAAAGGATCATGATCTGAAACGAAGCCAAGTGCAAGAAGATGGCTGTGCAAGTGGGAAGCACGGTTAGTTGTGGGGCAAATCTTTCTTCAATTGACTTAAACCAGCGTTCGACAAAGCCAATTTCTGTAAGCAACATATTATGATGCCAACTGTCTTAATCGAGCATTGGAAGAGGCAACATTAATTTGTGGCAAGATTAATCTGAAACTGATACACAAGCACATAATAAAAGTGCAAAAATTTGTATTGAACAAATTTCAATAAGAAAATGAGGTTGAAGATGATGATATCCTTGAGATGTTATCCTTGAGATGTTATTTGTTCCAACTACATAAAGTATTTGCTACAAGTTATGGCAAATTATTATCTCTAAAATATAATAATATTTAGAGAAACTTGATAGCAAATTTCAAGTTTTCTTTTACAAACAAAAGATCAAGATTTTTTTTATTTGCCAATACTTGTCATTTTTATAGGAAAAAATACCTATGAATGTCCATTGGATACTCAAATCCATAAAAATTTAGGTATGAAGTTACTTTTTCGGATCCAAAAGAGTATGGATCTGGATTTGGATCTAACTAAATTAAATGGATCTGAAACTGGATCAAAAGGATCCAACCCAAATCCTATCCATTAACATGCTTAATTGTGATAATGTGATGGAACGGACACATGGGCTCCAAATGAAATTTGGGTTTATGACATTTGCGTACTATCGTTTTTATTCGGCAAAGGACAATAATTGTGTGACCCACCAGACGCTCCAGCGGGCGCGATGCCCCACTGGGTGCTGAGCATCCATTTCTATTTTCTTTTTTCATATATTTCCATTTCTTTTGTCGTTCCAAGTAAAGCCTCCAGTGGCAAAAGCTGCGAAGGTTCTGTTCAATCAAAGCCATTGCCAGAAACCACCGTCAAGCATCAAAGATGTCAAGTACGGATCTGACTTCAATGGATAGTTGGGAACAGGGGCAGGAACGTTAATCCTTGAAAAATGACACATGTTAAAGTATATATTTGCTATTTCTCATTTGCAACTAAGGAAAACGTTAAAACTAATAAATATAGTAAATTTTACTTAGAAAAAGTTATTGATAAGTTAGTTTAAGTAGGGTTTTTATGTCTAAATGAAATGTTAAAATAAAATATTTTACTTAGGGAGGCTTTTTGATAAGTTAGTATAACAAAATATTTTTCTAACTAAAATAATAGTGATTTAAACATTTGAACTAAACAAACTAAAAACTATTAAATTGAATTGATTAAATAGTAAAATAATTCAAGAATATATGTCATATTATTAGAAATCTTTTAGAAAACATGGACTAATAAATCTCTAGTATAATAGATTTTCACGTATTTATCCCATTACAATCTACACACAACTTTCAACTTTTTGCTCTTCTTATGCTTTGGTCCAAACCGTTTTCTCCTACCCATTCATTCATGCACGTCCAACTACCACTACCACTATCACTAGTTACAATGAGTGGTCTAAGCCACACAAATTTTTTTAGCCTAATCAGGGCCGTGAACCTTCTGAAACGGTTGTCTCTGACAATCGTTCCAGCCCCTCCTTCCCATAAAGGGTAGTTGTCAACTTTACCTTTTCAATTGTCGCAGACATTATTTCTAGCCTCATATTTCACTGGCTTTTGATCAAAAGACATCCACACCCAAAAGCACCTAGCAACCTTGACAAAGCCAATCATCATCAAAAAATTGTAGTACTAATTTTCTATCTTTTAGTAATTGTTTTGAAATGGACTCAAAAAACGGAAGAATAGATAGAGTTTTATAGTCAAACACGTGAAATTGAGTTGGATACTTGGATCTCAACAATACTGAATGAAACAACTGTAATTTAAAACAAATTCAGATTTAGATTCTTTTTTTTTTTCCCTTTCAGCTAAGCAGGGAATTTTAGATTCTTTTAGGTGTCAGGAATCGTGGGCTTCACCAAGGGATTGGAGTTTAGGGCTTTTGTGAATTCTTGGAATGGTTTGTCAGCAGACCTCTTGACGGGGCTCGCTCGGCCTGCGGTTGCGGTGCAGCCGACGAGGGAAGGCGGCCTTGAGCAGTTGAAGTACTGAGATGTAGTATTTCACATAGATGGTACGAGGAACCGGACAAAGCAGGTAACAAGTTATGGAATGAGATAGAATAAGTTATAGCACGAGATCTGTAACTATTGCCCAAGTTATGGACTGTAACATGAAGATTGCAAATTATGGACCAACCTTCCAGGTTCGACCAAATTATTAATCTGTTCAATTTTCTGTGGAGTCAGCAATACTCTGTTGCGAAAAACTAGTCTAGTCTAGGGGAGTATTTCCAGCCACAAAAGGGAAATTACCAAGAGAGATTGTTCCTCTACTACAGTTCCCGGCTGCCAGACATCTGTGCATGCATCCAGATATAGTAAGTTGGATGACAGCTTTTACAGTAACGAGATTGTTGGATCAACTGATATTCTCGACTCCCAGGTTTCTGCAGGTGTACTGAATTACTGATCACGATACAGCTTGTCTAGGTTTCACCTACTATATTACAGCAATGAAAGACCTCTAGTTCTACTCATCCTGTTCATGAAAAGTCGTCTCTTTCTTATCTTCTTTGCCAGGACCATAAGCCTTGTTGCAAATGAGGAAATAAATCATGTTAAGCATACTTAAGCCAGCAAGCACCCAGTAGTAATAATCATAGTGACCCTTATTGACATTGGTCGAAATCCAGCTTTCTTTTCCTCCCAGTTTCGAGAGTTTGTCGATGGCGTTCATAAGAAAACTTGAAACAAGATTTGCCGCAGATATCCCAAGTAAGGAAAGAGTACAAGATATACTTGACATGCTTCTTGGAAACTCGGAATAATAGAACTCATTCTGTGCAACCATATTTGCAATTGCACCAGCGCCGATCAGGAAAGATTGGGGAAGAAGCCAAAGTAATGATATGTCCACCACTGCAGCTGAATCATCTGAATATCCTTCCCTGATAGCCAGACTACGTCGTTTAAGCTCCACTGTTGCTGCCACTATCATGCCTACAAAAGAAAGGGCCACTCCAATTCCCATTCTTTCCCTTGTCGAAGGATGAACAGGTCTCCCCAAAATTCTTGATGCAACAGGCAGGATTATCTGAAGATAAAAAGGTATCCATAGTACTGCACCAACAACGGCAAACATACTACAAGAACCAGCTGGCATTTCGAAGTTTGGACCAAATTTTCGGTTCATGAACTTTGCTTGAAGTACAGAAAATGAGAGCTGGCTGTTATTTACCGACATTATCATTCCTGTGGACCATAAGGGGATCACTTTGAGAATCGACTTCAGGTCCTCAACTTGATTTACTGTGCAAAGACTCCAGGGATCTGCCGCTGTTCCATCTGTTGTCAAGTCTTTCTCAGGATCTAAGCTGATGCAAGCTTTGTTTAAGAACCTGGAAGACAAATTATTGAAGCTTCCATAAGAGAAATATTGTTTAAATGACCAACTAGGAACTTCTCTCTTGAATGTTCAAACTCCAAATGACTTTAAAGAAAAACACTCAGACTCAAAAAATGCTTTTACAAATTGTTGAATTCGCCACCACATGAAAAATAAAATAGGATTAATTGCAAACCAATTATAGCTACCAAATACAGGCAACCTTGTATAATCAAAATAAGTTGCTAAGAACTTGAAGTTATTCAGATATATAAATCAAGAAAGAAATACAGCCCCAGTCTGAGAGCGGAGCCAATCGTTTTGGCTAAGAGAACATCAAGATCAAGGGGACACTACTGTGAGGATGAAAATACACTCACCTTAGTTTTTCACTTGGAAGACAAATTGATGGACCCCTGTGGTGATGGTACAGCATTTTTGAGCTCTCTGTTGGCAATTCTATATGCCGTTTCCTATAAGAGGCTACAGCCACTTGAAGCATTTCAACAATTAAACTTGATTTAGCCTTCAACTTGACATATAAGTGCGAAGCCAGGGAGAATGACAGAGTTGACAACAACATGAGCATGACCGGAATGCCAAAACCAACTTGCCATCCCAAGTTTTCTTGTACGTAGACAATGCAAGTATAAGCAATTAAAAGAGAAATTGTGGATAACGCAGAGTACCAGCTGAAATAGGACTCCAGAACCCGTCCATTGTTGTGGCCACCTGCTTTTTGTAACTGATCAGCACCAAAAGCTAAGGATGAAGACCTAATTCCTCCAAATCCAATAGACATGAGTCCAAAACAAGAACACAAGAGAGAGAGTTGAAAACTTGTCGCAGAGCTACAATTTTTATTCGATTCATGACATGGAGGCGGCTTTACTTGTGGAATCATACTTGTTAGCCACAAAAGAGCCATTCCCTTCAATCAGAGTAGAAACTCATTTTCAGATGACTCCAGCAAAATTAGAAATAATATAGTAAATTCGAAGAACTAAAAATGCACCCCGCTGTATTACTGGTCAGTAGTGTAATTTTTTCTTGCAGCAGCACGACTACTTCCGTGCATCAACAAGTGAAGCCTTAAAGAAAGATGCAGAGAATTTAAATTTCTTTAAGTTTTACTAGTGTGATGTGCAACAAATTATCTTCTAAAAGTCAGGGGTTCTTTTTCAGTTTTCTTCACTGCACATGAATATCGATGGAGCAGGATTTGTAACTGAAAACTAAAATATAAAGCTGCTGTGTGCGTGAAGAAACCAATGGCCTGCATTTTCGGATGACATCATGCCATGTATGATTGGAATCCTCTCAAAAAAAAAGAAGAAGAAGATGATTATGGAGTTCCATTCCAAAAGTTCAGAAAAAGCTAATATAAAATGAGAGTTGCTGGAAGCAGAATTAGACAAGAAAGTCTAAAACATGCCTTTTCTGCAATTTGTTTCACCAGTTTCCTATGTGAACATGTTGGTTCTTAATTGAAATGATCAATTATGGTTCTAAACACAGGGTCAGAACAGATAAAATTTTGTCACTGCATGAAGATAAAAAGTGAGAAATGATGTATTTTTAAGACAGAAAAAAGGATCTGACAGCGGCAGGAAAATGACTTACACCACTCTTAAGCAAACAATGATGTAATCTTAAAGTGCAACCCAACTCCTCCTCCTCACAAGATCATGAAGCATTTTTAAATGTTCTTTGATCCATCCTGGCCGCCAGATTGTACATCAAAGAAAAAAGCCAGGGATACTCTATAAAATTCGTCCACTTTCACAGGACAATCTGAAGTTGAAAATGACATGATGGATGAAAATGCAAGAAATCGGAACAAACAGCTTCTTATGCTATGAAAAATTAAACATAATTAAAACAAATATTAACTGCTGAAAACACTAAAGTGTGTAAATGGGGTATTTACCAGAAGACTAATAACACAACCAAATAAGATCATCCGAAATCGACCCAGAAATGAATCTGCAACTGTAGCACCAAGAAGGGGCATGAAATTTGTTGCTGCTGACCAAAGAAAGATTATGTTAGACCCAGTAGCCATGTTCAGATGGTACTCTCCCGTCAAGTACAGAATCATGCTAGGCTGTAGCCCGCAGCTTGCCACCTGCGCAAAAGCCTCATTGGCTGCCCCCGGAAAAAAACCATTAAAACACAGAACGGTCAATTCTTAATAGAAAATTTCACTAAAACTATTCCTCAATAAACTTCAATTAAACAAAGACACATAGAATGAGAATCAGATATACCTAGTTTTAATAAGGGTCGTTTGTTTCTTGTTTTCAAAGTGAGGTTTCAGTCCTCACCGTCCCCCTTTCCACCCCACCCCTTCTTCAAATTCAAAGGAAAAGAAGTTACCTAAAATGAATGGCATGGTTCTGAAGCCACCTTTTGCTGAAAAACAGTCATGATCATCCTTAAGTAAAGGCTTTGTAATCATCCCTTCTACTTGTTCATCATCAGCGGAATTCTCCGTCATGCATGTAGGGACTTCTACTTCTTCTACTGCAATAATATGTGTCGAGTATTCTGATCTTGATTCTCGTCCAACAACCATACTGAGCACACTGGAAAACAATTACTAATATTTTATATGAACAATTTCATACTAAGCATACGACCTAAGCCAAGCCACAGATGCAAACTACAAGATAAACCACCTTCTTCCGCCAGATTTTGCAGCTCCATAGCATTAGACAGAGGAGAAAGAACAATGAGTGGACTTGCATTAAAATCTCAAGTACTGATTGTGTTTTCTATTGTATTTTTGTGAATTTTTTGTACAAAAATTATTGTTGAATTTGTTGTAAAAAAAATTGTCGTAGCAAATTGATGTGAGATAAAAATTTAATAAAAAAATATATTCACAAAAAACGTAATAATTTTTGACGAAAAATGGCTATCCAGATACAGCCAAACTCCAATGGCTGGGGGACTAATGATGTGACGTGACCTAACTAGTGCCACTACCGCCAATTTACCTTTTGTGGTCCGCCAATTTGATACCAATTTATGATCCAACCATCCAGATTGAATTGCTGAATCCCACGTCTAATTTCTTAGATTATATATAAAAAAAAAACAATCCATCATCAAATGTAACTCTGACATGGGATATTTTTCATTTTATACGTGTCGTGCTTACTCAGCAGGGTCATATAGTAAATTTGTTTTTTTTTTTTTGAAAAAATCAGCCAATCAAAATGTAATGGGCAAATTATCTAATTGGCCCTTGAACTCTTTGTCTAGGTAAAAATAAACCCTTCATCTATTTTTGCTGACTTGAAACCCTCGAACTTGTAAAATTGGACACCCGTGATCCTTTTAGCCAGTTTCTCCGATTTTGCAACCGGAAGGCTAATTCACACGAATGCCAGTGTGCTTCTTCAAGGGACATTTTTGTCCGCATCTTCTAAGCAAAAAGGAAACAACTCCTCCCCACCTTGGTTCAACCAGCCCAGTCCCTTGCTCATCCTCCCATCTCCAAATTCTCCGTCGAGGCCGTCGGTCTCTGCTCCGACAGCCGCGTTTTTATAGGTGTCGATCTCGAGTTTCCTGGTCTCCCCTTAAATCAATCCGTCCACGCAGAGCAGTTCCTCTGCAACAACCTCGCCGTCCATGGCTGCCCTCGCAGTCTCCGCCGCCTCTTGTGGCCACTACCGCCAGTTCTTCCAAGAACTTCGGGATTCTTCCTCTCCAAATCCTCATCACCTCCGACCACCAAAATCAAAACTTTTCAAAATCTCCCCTCCATTTTAAGCCATTGCCGGAATTCTTAACCAACCCATTTGGCCCCTGTGATCTGTTGGATAAAGAATCTCCCCTCCTCCTCAAACCCCATAGCAATGGGCTATCTTTTGATACTTCCCGAAAACACGCAAAAAGAGATTCAAGTTCCGGACGACTCCTAGAATCGGGAGATATGGAACGCTTTGCCGTGTACCAAAATTGGCAATTTGGGTCAGATAACCCGCGTAAGTGTCCTCAATAAAGGCACGTCCCTCCGGGTAGAAAATAAAGCTCCGGATCTGATGTCTTTTTTCAAGGACAACTTGCAGGGAATATCCGTCTGCCACAAGTGCGGCCTCTATGTGCCTTTCGATTGCCAGTTGACTCCAAACGAAGGAGTCGAGTTTTCGCTCGTTATAAGACATCCCCCGCCAATTCGTCCCCAATCGATCAGCGAGCTCTGCTCGCCAGGTGTTCTCATCGAGCAGCGGAAGCTCCAGTTCATTCTAGATCTGGTCTTGTGTTATTTCTTGATTTGCCCCAGAGCCAGAGGAACCTTCACCGCCAACCCCTCCCTCCACCAGAGAATGACATTGTCCCGGTCCTGACAATATCACGTAGATGCGTATTGGTCGGTACAATGACTCGATTCTCCACTTCCATTGCTGGTAAGTGGTTGAATCCTTCCACATTGAGGGATGTACTTTCTGGAACTTGCGGTAGCGTTTCTTGCGCTGCGTTTAAAAAAGGCTCTACGGCTGCAATGGCATCTCCACTGGAAGGTTTGGATAAGAATAGTGTTTTAGCGGTTAATTTTGATAGGACTGGTGTCCAGAGTGGGGGAAAATTGGGCAGTCGAAGGAATAGCTATGACTCTGTTAGTGGGAAGATTCCTGAGAGCGGTGGTATCACTCTCCTGCAGAGAATGAGGAGAGAGAAAGCGGCGGCAACGAGGGTTTTGCAGAAATGGAGGAAAGAAGGAGAAGTTGTTCTCTTTTTGTTTAGAAGATGCGGACAAAAATACCCTTTGAAAAAACACGCTGGCATTCATGTGAATTGGCCTTCCGGTTGCAAAACCGGAGAAACTGGCTAAAAGGGTCACGGGTGTCCAATTTTACAAGTTCGATGTCTTAAAGTCAGCAAAAAATAGATGAGGGGTTTATTTTTATCTAGACAAAGAGTTTAAGGGCCAATTGGATAATTTGCCCAAAAGTAATTAATGCCTGTCCCCAATCGTGCCCAATCAGCACGATTGGAGACAGCCAGTCCAAAAAAAAAGGCGTCAGGCGCCTGACAAAGGCCGACAATTTTTCTTTAATTAACAACTATTATGCATTTGATAATGATTTAATAATAATACAAAATTTAAGTAAAAAATCATGTTCTATTTACAATAGAAAGGCATCTGGGGACATGAATAATGAGGTTAGGTTAATGTATTTATTTTAAAAATTAATAAATTGAAGTATATTTGGGATTATAGTTAAAATTTAGTTTAATCAGGTTATTTTGAAAATTAAAGTAATGAAATTTATTTAGAATGGCTGTGAAATTCTAGTTTACTAAGATTATTATAAAAATTATATAAGCGACTATTTTTTTAAGATTATACATAAATGAATAAAGATATAATTAATTTACTCGTTGCTTGATAAGGGCAACAAAGATCCATAGGGCCTAAAATTAAAAATAAAAAATTGTGGGTAAAAATATAAATTTTAAAATCTAAGGGGCCAAATGCAAATTCTTAAAAAATCACTTTTTTTTTACTAACCTTTTATTCATAATCTACTCAAATTTAGGCTAATTAGACTACCAAAGTGATTAACAAATCTACAAACAAAAGATTATTCAATCTAGTTTCTAAAGTTGTTAAATTAAAATTCTAAACTTAATAAATTTACTAAAACCCCTAATTATACCTGAAAAGTCAGAATTAATTCACAAAAATACACATTAACATCATAAAGAAACGCCAGGACTCCAAACATGAGAAATTATATCCATTTTTGGCAAATGTTGAGACCCTAGCACAATTATGCAAAAGTTAGGGGACAAATTATAAATATAATTTATGGACTTAGATCAAAATCAGTGAACACAAGAACACATTGTATAATTTTCAGAAAATTATACAATGCCTAAAACACATAAAATATCTAAAGCTACATATTAAAAAAAACAATGGAAAAATAAAAACAAAATCTTGGTCCATATTGTTTAACCCAACCTTTGACATAACAAATTTGGACATTTGGATGAAGCGTCTAATCCAAACAGAAATTACCTACATGACTCTAATACAATGAATGTAAGCCCAAATGAAATATACGAGTTAGTCCAACTCAAAACTAAAGTAATTAAATTTAAAATCTAAAATTAGTGTTGGCTTTTGTTCTTAATTTGAAATACTAAAATCAGTCATTTTTTACTATAAACTTGCAAAATGAACTTCGTATGTTTTGAAAGAAACACACAGAAGCACGCAATTCATAACTTATATCAAATTATATTGCACAGCAAAAACCCTAAAACCTAAAACCCTAACTCTAAAACCTTAACGCAAAAACCCTAATTCTAAAAACCTAAAACCCTAACTCTAAAACATTAACGCAAAAATCCTAAAAAAATCCTAAACCCTAACTCTAAAAACCAATCTTCGTAAAAACTATTTTTTTTTTCAAATGTCAGACGCAGATGAGACGCAGACGTGCTGACTGGGCAAGTCTGCGTCTTACACAACAAGACTGCCATTGATTTGTGTCGGCCACAGACGTGCCCAGTCAGCACGTCTGCGTCTGATAACTGATGCGCCACTGAAATTTTTACAGACATCTGCAATGAGATTGCGGGATATTTTTAATTATGCTGCCGTGCTGACTCAGCACGACAGCTATAGAATGAGAAATACCCCGTGTCAGAGGTGTATTTGACAGTTGTTTTTTTTTAATACAAATATTCTAAGAAATTAGCCGAATCCACCTACCCCTCTTTAATGTACGTTATAGTCTTTTTGTTGTACATGTCGTATTAGGTGGAGACGGATTTGACTTGCAATTGAATGGATGAAATTGATGGTTGGACACAATTTCTAGGGATTGCAAATTTATTGTCTTTTTGCTTGTTATTGCGTTGGTGTTCTTCTGCGTTGTGTTAATTTACATTGTACTATACAATTAGAATTATTGTGTGAGTATTTATATATATTGTACATATAATGAGAATTAGTGATCATAGAAGCCCCTAATACTTAGCTATAAACAAATTTTTTTTTTGTCAACACAGAAAGTGTTCCAATTTTTTGTTGGATTAATATCCCTGTACTTGTGCACTCGGCCCCCCAAGGATACACAAATGATAGAGAAGTGATTCGAACACGCGATCTTGAAACTTAATTAGACTATTTCGAAACCATCCGAGCCAACCCAAGAGCAGCTATAAACAAATTACCTTGTAGTGTTTTTCGATGGAGAATGTATTTGGATTTGAAATTCAAATCTCTTATCCAAGCAAGTGAAGAAATTTGTATATCTAATAATTAGTTTTGACCAATGATGGAGAATTAATCTAAAATAATATTTTGCTTGCATCATAAACACAATTCTCAACCCACTTTTTTATATTCCCAACCACCTTTTTATCTCACATACATTACATCACAAAAAGTGTTACAGTAATTATTTCAAATAATATTTCAAATAATACTTTATCTAGTATTTCAAATAAGACTTTAGATCTCATTAATTTATGTTTAATACAATTCAAATAAGCACGCAAAGTTTTTGTTTGTCAAGATTCAAATTGGTCAAGGACGTAGTTGCTCCTGACGATAACAAAGTTTCCCTTCATATCTCTTCATGTCTCCAATAATTGACATCTTTTCTTACTACAGTGAGTAGTGTACAGCTACACCGCCGCCCCCCGCTGCTGGTACCAGCGTCTCCTGTGGCCTGAACCGATGCGACCATTTAGCGTTGCCGGCGAGATTGGCTCTAGAAAGACAAAATGATTCGTTCATTTTATCGTGTCATCTGAGCACTCCGAACTTGTTTAGAAGTTTGTGTAATGCCTTGATCGAGAGGAGTGATTGAAGGAAACTGGCTGTGGTGGAAGGCAGCAGATAAGGTTGGGAAAGAAAAT